CGGGGCCCCCCTGGTGGCTGGCACGGCTGGGGGTGGCGGGCTGCTGGTCCTCGCCCTGGCGCTAGCCTTAGCTCTCCCTGGAAGTCTGGACACGGGGCTGGAGGAGGGCCTGGGCGCTGCCATGGCTCACTACAAGGACACGGAGGTGCCTGGGCACTGCCACGCCAAGCGGCTGTTGGATGAGCTGCAGCTGAGGCACCACTGCTGCGGGCGCCATGGGTTCAAGGATTGGTTTGGGGTCCAGTGGGTCAGCAGCCGGTACCTGGACCCCAATGACCAGGATGTGGTTGAGTGAGTGACCTGCTTCTCTCCTCCTCCCACTCCTCCTCCATCCTTTAAAACCCCACCTCACCCAGCCGGGCAACAAATAGAGCTTAGTGACTGAGGGGATGGGTGACAGCTCCGCCATCTGTTACTGTGTGGCCCAGGGCAGCTACCGAACGTCTCTGAGCCCGTGTCCTCATCGATAGAATGGAGGTGATGACAGCATGTCTCACAGAACTGCTGTGGAGACAGATGAACTGTGCTGTGCCTGCCTGGCACACAGGAAAGCAGTTAGAAATGTCTCCTCTCATTGTCCCGTCTCAACTGTGCCTGCAGCCTCTCTCTTCCCCAGGCCGCTGGCTCCAGACACCCAACCCCGCCCCTCCCTTCCCTTCGCAGCCGCATCCAGAGCAATGTGGAAGGCCTGTATCTGACTGACGGAGTCCCTTTTTCCTGCTGCAACCCCCACTCACCCAGGCCTTGCCTGCAAGACCGGCTCTCAGATCCCCACGCCCACCCCCTCTTCGATCCCCGTCAGCCCAACCTAAACCTCTGGGCTCAAGGATGCCACGGGGTGCTGCTGGGGCACCTGCAGGGGCTGGCGAGCACACTGGGCAGCCTGCTGGCTGTCACCTTCCTGCTGCAGGTGAGTCAGCAGTGTCTGAGGCCTCCCTCCACCTGGACTCACTGCCCCCAACCCGGGGCCCTGGACCCGCTGACCCGCACCGACCTCTTCCCCTTGCTCTCCCCAGACACCGGTGCTCCTGGGCCTGCGGTACCTGCAGACGGCACTGGAGGGGCTTGGAGGAGTCATCGATGGGGCAGGGGAGACCCGGGGCTATCTCCTGCCCGGGGGGCTGAGACACAGGCTGAGAACAGCCTGGCTGCAGGGAGGGGCTGCCCACAGGCCAGCACCCGGGGAGGCCCCTCCAGAAGAGGCACCGCCTGGGGAGGATCCACCTGAGGCCTAGTGGCCTGGAGCTGGGGCTGGGGGTCGGGCAGAGGGAGAAGAGGTGGAGAAGCAGGAAACCTCACAACTCTTTTGCCAAGGCCCCTGGTGGGGAAGTTGTGTGTGTGTGTGTGGGGGGGGGGGCGGGTCCCTGGGATTAGAGCGTTTAAGAATAACTAGCAAGCTGGACGGGGTAGGAGAAAAAACGAGGGGTCCGAGGGCCTAGCCCCTGTGGCCAGAAACAGAAATCCCAGGAGGTGGGCAAGCCGCATGGGCAGCTGCTTCCCTGCCGACTCAAGGAGCTTCCGGACTGAAGCCGCTGGTCTCCTCCTCAGGGCGTGGGTCCCTGAGAGAATGGCTTTCTGTCTGAGAGAGAAGCCAGGAGGCCAACGTTTTGACCCCGGTGAGAATCAGAACGCAAGAAACAGACTAATAAAACGAAAATGAGAGGCCCCTCCAGGTTGAGATTTTTTTATTCTGGAGGTAGGAGGGGTCAGCATGCTCAGGTGGGGAGGGTCCAGCCCAGCTCCTCCAGCCCCCCGGCCCCCCGTGCATGCCCAGCCCCAATAAGTTACCCAGTTACTCAGCTGCCCTCCCTCCTGAGTCTGTCTGTCCTGCTCCGCCCCAGACAGGGCTGACCCGGCTCAATACAAGGGCTGCTTGTCCCCAGCTGTGGGCAGTGCCACATGGCAG